CACCATGCTCCCTTCCATTCCCAGCCCTGCCGTAAAGGCAACCACTTACCTGGCTTCTAACACTGTAGACGACTATTGCCAGTTTTCGAACTTTATTTAAGTGGAAACATAGTATGTGCTTTATTTGGTGCCTTCTTCCCTCATTATATTTCTGAGATCCGTCCATGTGCCGCATACCGCAGTAGCTCATTTTCACGGCAATAGACGATTCTGTTCCATGACTGTATCTCAGTCCACCTACTCTGCCTTTGGTGGACATTTATGTCACTTTGTTTTCTGTTATTACAAACAGTCCTGCTGTGAACATTTTGGTATATGTTTTTTGGTGAACGTAGCTCTGCATTCCTGTTGGAAGAATGCAGAAATGTAGGAGTGTGACTGCCAAGTCAGCGTTGGTAGATTCTGCCAGATGGTTTTCCAAAGGAATACCGAGTCATCTTCATTTTAGCCATCCTGGTGGATGGGTGTAGGGTAAGAATGATATTTTTAAAACAACTCATCTAGTGACACATCTTGGCTCAGGTTCTGCAGTGTCTTCCCATCTCACTCAGGACCTATACGTCAGAGGACCATATGATTTAGTGTTCAAATCAGAACTTGACTTTGAGAGTGAAAGGGGAACTGTTACATGGGGATAAATCAGGACTGTCCTGGGTCACCAGGGTGTACAGCACCCCCACCCGTCAGAGCCTCCATGGTCTGGCTGCTGGCCGTCCCCTGACCCCCCACCCTCTCTCCCTTGCTTTATTCTCTGCAACCACAGTGACCTCCAAATTCCATGAGCTTCACAACCACGTTCCAGCTTCCCAGCAAACTGTGCGGGCTGCCCTCACCTTCAGCGAGGCCCCGTATAAAGCCCTCTCCCTGCTGCTGGAGTCACCATTTTTACTGTTGTTCCGTAAAACAAATTTTTATCGCCCTGTTGCCCTCTGCCCCCAAATGCAAGCTGCACAGAAGGGACTTTGTCCGTTCACTGCTGTGCCCGGCACTTACCATGTGCCTCAAATATAGTTCATCATAGAATCTGGGTGGTGGTTATTATAGCTGCTGTACAATTTCTTCCAGTTCTTTTACTTGAAAATATATGTTAGGGAAAACAATAGCTTATTTCATCTTTACAGAAAGCCCTGGGAAACAGGCAAAGTGGGGTGTGACAGGCAGCATTGGCATCACCTGGGAGGTTGTGAGAAATGCAGGGTCTTGGGTCCCACCCTGTACCCACCAACTCAGGATCTCTGGGGTGGGCCCGGGGATCCAAGGGATTTGTATGCACACAACGTTTGAAATGCACTCAATCATTTTTACCCCCGTTTTATAGGTGGGGAGAATGAGGCACAGAGAAGAAAACTTTAAGTCCCACAGCTAGAGGACAGTGGTACTGGGATGGGATGTGCTCTTAAAGCTGAGGTCTAAAGGAATGTCTGGCAATCTGTCTGACCTGCAGAATAAAAAGCTAATGTGAGGCGTGAGTGTTAGAATGGAAGCGTGTCCCATTTGCCATTAGCATCTAACGCGGGGATTTAAGTGCTGTTCAGCTACGATGTTACTTGTGACAGTGTCTCTCGTCTCAGTCTGTCACTTTTCTCTTTATTCTTGGCAGAGACTTGGGAACCGTGGGTGCCGTTGCCTTGGACTGCAAAGGAAACGTAGCCTATGCAACCTCGACGGGCGGCATCGTTAATAAAATGGTCGGCCGCGTTGGGGACACCCCGTGCATAGGTAGGCCCCATGGCTGGCTGCTGCCCCGCCCCTTCCGCTGCCATGCACCTGTTGCCCTCTCCTCTTCACTCCCCGCCTCTTCCGGCCGCTCCGGGAGCCTGGGGGGCGCGGGGGGGGGGGGGTGGCACCACCTAGAGAGGGCGCCTGTAAGCAGCAGGCGCGAGGCTTTTCCGAGGCAGGTGGCTCCCGTGATGACTTGGGGAGGCTCAGGGGGCCCCCAGCGAGCCCCCAAGGGTCTCTTTCTTCTCTCTAGTCCCAGCTTCAGGATCTGCAGACTTAGCCCCGAAGAGTTACATACACAAAGCCTCTTCCCAGGCATGGGCCCAAATTAACAAACAGAAAAAGCTGAGAATATAGGTTGGCAGCTACTAGATTTGAGTGGCACGAAAGCGACGCGGTGCTGCTACAAGTGGAAACATTTGTGTTGACACTGAAGTAGGTCCTCTGGCTCCCGGGCGTGGGTCAGTGGCGGGGCTGGGACTGGCTACATGGGCTTCGCAAAGGAGGAGCGGTCCTGGAGGAGCTGCTCCGTGAGAGCTCGGCCAAGCCCCCCCGCCCCAACCACCACTGATTTCAGGGTCATCACCTGGCACGCACTACTCCACCTCTGCATCTCAAGGTCACAGCTGCTGACCTTTGTTCACACTTTGGCACTCTTTGGGATTTAACATTTATGTAGCATTAGACTTGATACATGTTTGCATTTCTTCACCGTTGCTGCTCAGTCAGAACCAGTCCACCTTTTTTGAGCAGGATCTGGAGGTTATGCTGACAACGACGTTGGCGCCATTTCAACAACGGGGCATGGGGAGAGCATCCTGAAGGTGAATCTGGCCAGACTGACTCTCTTCCACGTAGAACAAGGTACACAGAACAAGTTCATACTGTCTGAAGACAAGTGAATGGAAGCTCTTTATAAATAGGCTGTAAAGTATATGAAACCCTTTCTCATTTGCTTCAGATGTTCTTTTCAGGTTAACGCTCCTTTGACTTCTTCCCACCTCCTGTTAGGATCTGGAAAGAAGTGCACTTAGGCTATTGTCCATGTTGGACATCTCGGGGGCAGTAGAGAGACTTTGAGCCTGGGTGTGGGAGAGAAAGCAGCTCTGCTCAGGCTGATGCGAGGCATCATCTCGTGCAAAGAGGGCCTTTTATGGTGAGGATCCTTCTCTGAAGCGTTCATAGAAATCATTTGCCCAAAGTCTTTGTTAACTCACTTGGGTTGTTCATACTGCAACTGATTTTCCCATCATATTCGTTTCATTATAATATGTGTTTTTTCTCAACCTTTCCTCGTTTTCAGGAAAGACATTGGAAGAGGCAGCCAACATGTCATTGGGTTATATGAAGTCAAAGCTGAAGGGTTTAGGCGGCGTCATCTTGGTCAGCAAAGCAGGAGACTGGGCAGTGAAGTGGACCTCCACCTCCATGCCCTGGGCAGCCGCCAAGGATGGCAAGCTGCACTCTGGAATCGATCTCGACGAGACCAGTATCACTGACCTGCCCTAGGACCCTGAAGATTGTGTTCTAGATGCTAGCTTGGAGGGAAAGTCCAGTTTCCTGGTGTGGAGACTTGGCTTAATCAATTAGATCTAGAAATGGAAAATTCTGCAGTCTGTCACTCGTTTTGTCGCCTTGATCAATGAGTATCTGAGTGTTTGGTTGAGGGGAGGATCTGAAGTGCCGAGAGAAACGCTATTAAGGTCAAAATAAGACCAGTGCAGATGACCAGGTCCTGAGTCTTTCTTATGAGTCGTCCCCAGTGTCTTAGATTAGAAAGAAGAAATGACGATCTGAACAGGACAACAGCCACTTCGGTGCAGGGAGTGCCATCTGGGATCAGGAGACCTGCAGCAGAGACAAAAGGGGCAGGCTCGAAAGGTGGGGGGACCCAGACCAACACCTCCCGGGGCTCTCTCTTGTGGAGTTCACGTTAAGTCCGAAGAATGTCAGGGAAAAGAACCCATGAGAGGAGAAGCTGATTTTTCTAAGAAGGTTCAGATCTCCTCTGACTTACTGATGTGGACATGTTTCCAGATACTTTAGAAGTAGCCTCTGATAACCCATAGTCCCCAGTCTGGAGGTGAAGGGTCTAATGGAGACTGCAGAGCTCCCACCTGAGTCTGCTGGCGTAGCATTTTCCCACCAGCTTCCGCCTACTGCAGGCCCTCCTGGTGCTCATGCCGAGTAAGGGGGCTCATGATCTCTCCGTCCCTACTATAACTAGCGCGCCCATCCCGTGGGGATGCACTGTGATCTACTGCACCCTCCCGATGTCCAGGGCTGTGGGCCCCCCCGACTGCAGGGGGCATGTGTACAACATGGTCAGCATCATGAAAAAAAGTCATTTCCTTGGTGGAAACTATTCCTATTCATCTCGCTTTACACTGGAAATGGTATTTCTGCTGTGACAATTTTTTAGTCTGTCAGGTCTTACCTTCTCACTGGAAAGAAATTGCTTAACTTTAAATTCCATGTGCCACTAATAAAATTTATTTTGAAAGAATAACAGTGTGGTTAGGAGTCACTGTTGACCAAGACCAGAATGTCCACAAGCTCCCATTGTTTCTGTCAGTTCAGACAGGTGTACTAACTCAAGAGGACTTTCAAGAGGAGGGTGGTACGGGGATGTGTCAGTTACATCCTGCCTCGTGGAGTATATTGGAGAGTTTTTCAGCGGAATGGAGCTTTTTCTCAATGGATTAAGGGAGAAACCAGACCACTATTTGCAAGGATCAGCAGGGCGAATGAGCAACATTCTTGCAGTTTGCCAGCCACCTCCTTCCAGATCCCTGCCCATGACCTTCCGGGGCCGGCCAGCTGCTCCGAACCACGGAGGGGGAGGTGGCACTCGGAGGCACAACTGAGTCTGAATCCTGACTGTCCCCACTACCTGGGTGACCCAAGTTAACTTCTAGGAATGTTTTCATCTATAAAATGGATTACCATGAAGATTAAATGCAATTAAAGGAAAACTGCTCTGTGTTTATCTTAAGGATCCTCTGGACAGATAGAGAAACTGTGGCGGGGCCCAGGAGGGAGTGGGTGTGTTTATATCCCTGAAAACCTCAAAATGTTGGGGCACCTGGGTGGCTCAGTCAGTTAAGCGTCCAACTCTTGATTTCGGCTCAGGTCATGATCTCAGGGTCATGAGATTGAGCCCTGCATTGGACTTGACACTCAGCAGGGAGTCTGCTTGAGATTCTCTCTCCCTCCCTCTCCCTCTGCCCCTCTTCCGCGCTCGCCCACTCTCCCTCTTTCTCTCTCTCTCTCCCCCTAAATTAAAAAAAAAAAAAAAAACTCAAAATGCAACCACTGCCCTGTAGAAATAAGTATTATGTTAGGGTTATATCGTTTGCTAGGGCTGCCAACAAGAAAACACCACAGACATGGACTTCAACAATGGAAAGTTATGCTCTCACAGCTCTGGAGGCTGGAAGTCCAAAATCAAGGTGTCAGCAGGCTCAGTGTCTCCTGAGGCCTCTCCTTGGCTGGCAGATGGCCTCCTTCTCGCTGTGTCCTCACGTGGTCTTTATACACATCTGTAGCCAACTTTCCTCTTCTGATGGGGACACCAGTCAGATTGGGTGAGGGCTCACCCTAATGGTGAGAAAGAAGAAATGATGATCTGAACAGGACAACAGCCACTTCGGTGCAGGGAGTGCCATCTGGGATCAGGAGACCTGCAGCAGAGACAGAAGGGGCAGGCTCGAAAGGTGGGGGGACCCAGACCAACACCTCCCGGGGCTCTCTGTTGTGGAGTTCACGTTAAGTCTGAAGAATGTCAGGGAAAAGAACCCATGAGAGGAGAAGCTGATTTTTCTAAGAAGGTTTCTAAGAATGGCCCCATTAACTCAACCACCTCTTCCAAGGCCCTGTCTCCAAATACATTCATGTGTTGAAGAACTGGGGGTTAGGGCTTCCACAAACCAATTTTGAGGGGACACAATTCAGCCCAAAAAGGAGGCAAAGCAGAATTGCATGAGAGGTTGGGAAAGGAGAGACTGAAGAAGAAAGCCATCACTGAGTGGATAAGGGAGGCAGAGGTAGGAGGAAGGCCAGCTGAAACATCTCATTTTGTGCTTACCAGTTCCGCCATTCAAAAGGAAAGCGACTCTAGTCGTCAAAGACTGCCGAAGGCTCCAGAGGCTCAGCTTGGAGGCCACCCGACCGCTTTGGCTGGGCAGCCCAGTTAGGTAAGGGTACGTACGTCGGCCCCCTTGTACAGCCCAAGGTGTGGATTGTTACCCTCAGACCCTGATTCGGTGAAAAGTCAGTGGCCTCCACGAGCCTGGGAATGCCCTCAGCAGAGACCGGGTATGGCCCTCTGTTCTGTCCCACACGTCCTCCCGAGAGCGAGATGCTACGTGAAAGAGGAGACTCATCACTTCTGTGCCACTAGAGGGCAGCAAACTATAAAACGTCCAGCATTCCCTGGGACCCGCAAGGGAGACTGATCTATCTATCTTGACTGCCTCCGAATAATCCACTCAGAAAATTTGGGACCCGGGAAACAGACTGAGGGTTTCAGAGGGGAGGGGGGTGGGGGGATGGGTATTGAAGAGGGCACTATTACAATGAGCACTTGGGTGTTATATGCAAACAATGATTCATGGAACAATATATCAAAAACTAATGAACTACTGCATGGTGACTAACATAATAAAAATAAAATAATTTTGGCGCCTGGGTGGCTCAGTTGGTTAAGCGACTGCCTTCGGCTCAGGTCATGATCCTGGAGTCCTGGGATCGAGCCCACATCGGGCTCCCTGCTCAGCAGGGAGTCTGCTTCTCCTCCTGACCCTCCCCACTCTCATGCTCTCTCTATCTCATTCTCTCTCTCAAATAAATAAATAAAATAAAATAAAATAAAAAATCTTTGGGCGCCTGGGTGGCTCAGTTGGTTAAGCGACTGCCTTCGGCTCAGGTCATGATCCTGGAGTCCCTGGATCGAGTCCCGCATCAGGCTCCCTGCTCGGCGGGGAGCCTGCTTCTGCCTCTGACCCTCCCCCCTCTCATGTGCTCTCTCTCTCTCATTCTCTCTGTCTCAAATAAATAAATAAAATCTTAAAAATAAAATAAAATAAAATAAAATAAAATAATTTTTAAAAATTAAAAAAAATAGGGGCGCCTGGGTGGCTCAGTCGTTAAGCGTCTGCCTTCGGCTCAGGTCATGGTCCCAGGGTCCTGGGATCGAGCCCCGCATCGGGCTCCTGGCTCAGCGGGGAGCCTGCTTCTCCCTCTCCCACTCCCCCTGCTTGTGTTCCCTCTCTCGCTGTCTCTCTCTCTTTGTCAAATAAATAAATAAAATCTTTAAAAAAGAGAAAAATAAATAAATAAAAAGAAACTTTGGGTTCCTGTTGCTGACCTTCATTTTCATCTAAACACTACAGTTTATTTTAGAGCAGATTTGTCCCAAAAACAGTGCTAGCAAATGCCCCAAAAGACCCATGAAAATTGACCATGTCTCGGACTCTTAAACCATATCTCTGACTCTTAAAACAACAGAAACTTATTCCACGTGTGACGCCAAATGCCAGGGCCCCCAGGGTGAGCATGCTCAGACAGCCCCGGCCTCGGCCCTCGGTTGCTCCTTCCAGCCAGGAAGACAGATAAACTGTATTCGGCCTAAACTCGCCAAAATGGTGAGATGAGAAAGAGCACAAGAGGGGCCCAGAGCCAAGAGTCGGTGTCCGCCCCAGAAGATGCTGCGGTCAGCCGTGGGCTGGAAGGGGCCTTGGCTGTTGCACAATAAACTGTTTATTCAAATAATGTCCTTCCTGGATGTGTTCCTTTCTGGCATGAGAGAGTGCAAACCCTGAGGGCAAAGGAAGGTGGAATGGGATGTGTGCTTTGGTCCTTGTCAGTGTCCCTCTCATCAGAGTGGGAGGTGTTCTGGGAAGCTGACAGGGGACACGGCCCTTCAGCCCCATGCCCGCTCTGTGGTCCTCTGGGCAGCCTTCATCTTTGCACAGACCAGCTCTGCCTTCAGACTTTGCAGCAACCAGGGAGTAAGGACGTGCCCACAAAAGCTTGTGCAACTCGGAGAAACCCAGTTGTCCTCTTCCTCCTCCCTGTGTGGCCCCCAAGGGAACAGGGGCCGGGCTGAAGGATGAGGCGAACCAGGCCCGGGAAAGGGGTTCGGGGATTTGGGCTTGGACCACAGGTAGGCTTGGGGCCGGGAGTGGGTGTGGGTGCCCAGAGTGGTCCCATGCAGAGTGCAGGTACCATTCAGTGGGCAAACGACTTTCTCCCGTACCCCACCCCACTTCCATACACCCCAAAACAACTGAGCCACAGTCATACGTAGCTTGTCTCCTGCAGGGAGTTAAAGATGGGTGGGGCCCCACAGGGAGCCCTTTTGAAAGATGAAAAAAGGCCCAGAGAAACTGGAGTTTCCCTGGGGCATTCGTTCCACTCAGATTAAACTGAGGTTTAGCTCAGCCTCTCTGTTCCCTGCACCATCCTCATCACCTCTCGCACGGCTCCCAGCGCCTTCTAAGACCTGCGTAGGGCGTAGGGACGGTCCCAAGAATGCTACAGGTGAGAAGCAGGAAAGAACACCACATCTTAACAACTTTATCCTCCAAACACTGCTTTTTTTTTTTTTTTTTTTTTAAGATTTTATTTGTCAGAGAGCACAAGCAGGGGAAGCAGCAGAGGGAGAAGCAGGCTGCCTGCTGAGCAAGGAGCCTGATTCAGGACTCGATCTCAGAACCCTGGGATCATGACCTGAGCCAAAGGCAGACACTTAACCAACTGAGCCACCCAGGCATCCCCAAACTCTCTGCTTTCTTTTCCCAACCCACTAATAAAGTGAAGTTGGGGGGCGCCTGGGTGGCTCAGTCATTAAGCGTCGTCTGCCTTAGGCTCAGGTCATGATCCCAGGGTCCTGGGATCGAGCCCCACATCGGGCTCCCTGCTCAGCAGGAGGCCTGCTTCTCCCTCTCCCACTCCCCCTGCTTGTGTTCCCTCTTCCGCTGTCTCTCTCTCTCAAATAAAATCTTTAAAAAAAATAAAATAAAGTGAAGTTGGATCTTCAGACAGTGAGCAAGAAGGGGCAGGCATGGATGGGGTTGACAGAGGAAAGCAGACTGGGATTCTCTCACTCCCTTTTTTTCTTTTTTTCTTTTTTTTCAGTCACTGATCATCTCAAGAGTTAACTGTTTTTTGCTCTACAAAATATCAGCACTTTCTGGATTCTGTACAGAACTTGGATGGGGTTTTGGCTCTAAACTACAGCTAGCAGAAAAGAGGTCGGTTCTTCCCAACCTCTGAGATGGGACTGAGGGTGCACCACCCAATGCTCTGGTTCAAGCATCCCCTGGATTGTTCCCTTCCAGGGTAGCAATTTTTTAGTCAGCATTTTTAAGTTAAAAATAACCTCGTAATTAAGTAAAAGGGACATATGTGCATTGTAGAAGTTGGAAGAAATAATTTTTAAATAAGTTACGAGAAAACATAGATCCACAAAAACAAGAAAAAAATAGGGGAAACATTTCCTACCACCCAGTGACTCCTGCTATTAACATCTACTGTATATTCGTGAGTCTGTTTTCCAAAATGAAATCATACTATCCATGCTTTTTAAAACCTTTTTTCAGTTAACAATCCACCTTTCCATCCAATCCTTACATTCCTATGTAATAGCCAATATCCGAATATCTGCAGTTTCTTCAAACAAAACAAAACAAAACAAAACACCCCCAATGACAGGTATGTCCGAATCCTGCGGCTGGTCTGGATGAGTGACAGTGCCCCTTGGCTCTTCTCCCCAGTTCAGCCCTTGTGACTTGGCGAGGCCGTCAAGACCTGGGGCCAGGCAGGGTCACACCGCCACCTCACCCCTCCTCACACCTCCTCCCAGGTGAGCGTTTGGCTAGAACGCGTGGCAGGGATGCTGGGGGCCAGGCCGGCCACTCTGAACACAAACGTGGCTGTCCCTTCTGCTGCAGAAGCCTCCAGAGCCGGGCTGTGGGAACAGGACTGAGCTCAAGGTTTTGGAAAGGGAAATGTGGGTTGTACCAAGAGCACAAGGCCCCACCCGGAAGTTTGGCAAAGAGTGACTTGGCGTCAGAAGAGCAGGTGGGGATCGAGTTCACCCTGTGTGGCCACCAGGAACAGTGGCCCCTTCCCAGGTCACTTTCCCTTCCTGGCTGTGCTCACCCTTCAATCTTTCCCGAGGCCAGCCCTACCAGACAATAAACAAGAGCTACCCCAAGTGCCTCTCAGGCAAAGGGCAGTTTTCCCAAGTATTTACCGCCTAATTAGCACAGGTGGATGCCGGCCTCACCCCAAATCCAGGAATATTTACTGTGGAAGTGGAGTGAGAACAAAGGCTGCGGTTCCCTCGCCTTCCAGAACAATGTCCCACTGTCATCCAGCGCCAGATCCCTGGGGGGGCTGAACTCCTGAACTCTCTCTCCCAATGTTCCATTCAGACACCAAGTACTTCATCTTTTACAAAGTAAGAAAGGCCAAGTTCTTCCTTTCCTCCCTTCCGTCTGTTCCCCTCCCTACCCCTGGGCCTACTCAGCCCACAGCTCACTGTGGCTCCACGTGCTTCCCTGGTGACCTCACCCCGGATCTGGCCTTTCTGCCCCAGGCCTCCCCAATCTTCCTGGCCATCTCTGTTCAAATCTCATCTCTGGCTTTCGCACAGATAGCACACCCTGGATGCCTC